GCCGCGGGTGTGCTCGAGTCTGCGCCGTGTGGCTTTTTGGCACGGTTATTTCTCAAGAATCGCTTGGAAGCCGAGGGCTTGTAACCCTCTCCCTGCCGTGCTCCGCGGGGGGGGGGGCGGCCAGGGCTTGTGAGGGCGGCGCTGGCTTCAGCGGTGAGTTGGGTCGTGTGGGGCTCTTCGCACCGCGCTAGGACGCTGAACTACTTCAACATCTTTGTTGTGTAACTCTCACTTAATTTGGAAGCAGAACGGTTGGACCGGGCGCTGTTAAACAAAATCTAGCAGATGCCACGTGCCGCTATTGCTTTCAATTGCTTCGTTTGCAAGCCAGCTAGAGACCGGGAGATCTAACTGCGCTGCAAACCGGCGGGTGCGGAGTAGCTCTCTACCGACTTTTTTGATAGGGAGGAAAAGGCAACGCTTCTGAGCATGTCGAAACGTTTGATTTTGTTTGGCAGCGTTGCTTTTTGAATAATTTAAGAGTCCAGAGATTGAAATTGAGAGCATGGTACTGCTTTACTGCTTGAGTACTGGTTTCTCTCCCCCCCGTCCCCCAGCAATGCTGAATTTTCTTTGGTGGTTCTCTGTGTTTTCACCACTAATAATCTCAAAGCATTAGATTATTGCATAACTTTCTCAGGGTCATGAAAGCGCCGGCACATCTGTAGTAAGTGGCCTTTGACATGCCTGTGTCATCATTAGTAGTGGAAAAGTGCATGTCACTGAAGTCGCTTGTGTACTGTTGGCATGGAACAACTTAATTGATAGGGTCTGCATGTACAGCTATGGATGATCTGCCTGCGAAAGAGCTTTCTGTACAATGAAGTAAAGCAGAGGGGTAGATTGGAATAGTTACGAGAAATGTAGCAGGAGAGGCCTGTAACTCCACCTGTACCATCACTAAGCATTGCTTAGTAGCTGTTATGTTCTAGCTTACGCTAAAGTCACTAATGATGTTACAGTTCCTCCTCAAAGAATAGCAATAACTCTGTAGTATTTCAGAAAGAATTCTTTTGAAAGCAGGGAGTGGTTTTGAGGAAGGCTGTAGTCTTTCCTTTTCATGTTCATCTGCCTGCAGCTTAAAGACATTTTGAATTAGTTCTAGCATAGAACAGGTTTACTTGAACTATCACAGAAGCATTCCTTTAAATACGACAGCCTCTCCTAGTTTAGGAGGCCAAGCAGATCTTGTTCATGTTGGATGGACAAGGATGCTTGAGCCAGGTCTTGCAGGAGTGCTGATACTTCTCAGGTACCTTGTGCCAACTGTAGTCCCCGTGTTTTGGTTAAATATCAGTGATTAATGTTTGCTTACTGACTGCATAAATAAAGTACCACTGGCTGGAGTCAAGATACTGTGATAGATGAGGGATTGTTTTCTCTTCTTGTGCTAATAAGAGTAGGGATGCTACCTCAAGCTGGCTAGAGTGGATAAGAGTGGGTCTGCCGGAGGGGAAGAGGGCTGGGGATTTTCCTCCCATGTGACAGAAGAGCATCCTGATGGCAATATTGCATCCTTTCTGACTTCGCCTTTTGCCCAACTGCAAAACCAGATGTAATAAGCAGATGGAAGTGCAGGTAAACTAAATTCTGTGTGCTTCTTGTTTTGGTAGTGAACCGCAGTGGTGTTAGTATC